GTTTTTTCATCTTTCATTGAGAGCCTAGCCATATGGTTAGATGAGAAGGCAGAAACGCCAGTGTACCTGGTGAAGTAAAATAAAAACAAACAAACAAACAACCTAGGATAGGACAGGTTTCTATGATTCATGATGACCTATACAAGAGTATTCGCCGTGGGATCGGTTTTATGCAGCACAGATGTGGATCTGCACACTCTGGTTTATGTACAAGTCGTAGTCTTGATGATATGCACATCAGAATGCTCCATGATATTGGGCAGGCTTGCATCACATGTCCCGAAAAAGTCACGGGGAGGCTCAAACCCCAAATGCATTTGGGGGGGGGGGGGGGCGCCCCTGGCACAGAACCCGCTCGTTGCCTTCTGCTTACTTCTAACATGTGTCCCCCTCCTGCGTATATTGTGCATTTGTTGTCTGTCCACGCGCAGGGAGGCCGAACAGATCCGTATGCCGTGGCCACGTTCGACTACAAGGCCGAGGCGTCCGACGAGCTGACGTTCTCGGCCGGGGACGAGATCTTCCTGCTGCGTCGCATCGACAAGGAATGGATGGAAGGTGTACACGTGAACAAGACCGGTATCTTCCCGGTGGGCTATGTGGAAATCAAGATTGATCTGCCCGAAAACGAAGCAGCCGGTAAGGCCATGTTGCGCTGCTCTAACGTGCTGTGAGATTTGTACTTTGTAGATCTGAAGAGCTGAGATGCAACACCCGCTAAGCGCCACATTTTGAGAAAATCATATTTTCAGCTCAGTGTACTCGAAAGGCCTAGGGGCAAGTCTGGCCGTAGAGGCAGGAGCTGCTAGAGGCCTTCTTGTTTCAACGAGCTTGACATAGTGAGGGTGGCGCTCATCTCCTCTCCCTTGTTGCCGTTGTCTTCCGAATGTCTCCAAATGAAATCAGGTGCCACTACCCAATCCCAGGTGGGTATCCCGGGCATGGAAATAAATAATCTTTGCTGCAACTGGGAATTGAACACACGGCCTCTCATCAAGTGTCCGTAAACAACAGTATGCAACTGTGATCTCCGGTCTATGGGCCATATGCAAGGCACGTTGCCTTCACTACATCATACAGCTACAGTCTTCGCACTGTGCAAAATCTCTTTCTCTGTGGTTTGAAGTGAACTTTTGTATGGAAGGAAAGTTTGTGCATCCGAAACTTATAGATCGCGGCGGTACTCTAACGAATCGAGCAAAACAGATGTGCTGGTACATGTATGGGACATTGTGGGCTTGAGTTCATGAGTGCAGGGCGCCCAGACCCATAATTTACCAGTCGCGTACTCGTGTTGTGTTTGGACTGTTGCTCTCATGTTGAAGTACTGTAGTGTGTTGAAAGGCAATGTTCCTGCCACTTGTCAAGTGTGCTTGTCAAGTGTGCACTACTGCTTCAAGGGCTGTACTGTGTGTACTGGGAAGAACACTTGAGGGCATGAAAAGCATGGGCAACGTGCTTGGCTGGTGCTCATTCTCTTCTGTCTCCTTTGCACTTCTTAACAATACTTCCTCCGGACTGTTCTTTCTCGTGTGCTGCAGTGAAACTCTCTAGCAATATCTCAGCCGAGTCCGATCTGAGTCCACGTGTTGAAGCACTGTTCGACTTTGGAGCAGAGCAGGATGACGAGCTGACGTTTAACGTAAGCTGTCACTGTACATGTACTTGTATTGGTCGTGCCCGCAACGTCTTGGTATGCATTGTGATACAGTCTAACGGTACTCTCAGTATGCTTTCGGTACCTCCGTCCTTGGGACAAATTGCATGACTTGTCGAGTGTCGAGCATGCTACATGTATATAAATAAAGCCTGTTCACATTTTCATTTCAGCATGTATCCATACGCACAATGCCTGAAGCCAGGGAAACATGTCCAAACGTGTGGTTTACTTGGTGAGACTGTGGCTTGAACCGTGGAAAACACTGCAGCTGTGTCTTGTGCTCTTTGCTCGTGTTTCTTTTTTTTTACTTTGCAGACTGGTGATATAATCTATCTACTGGATCGCGAAGGCAAGGACTGGTACATGGGTGAGCTGAACAACAAGATCGGAAAGTTCCCGTCCAACTTTGTTAAGGTCATTCTCGACCTGCCGTAAAACAGGACGACGACCTGACTGGCATCGTGACTGTGAGCAGTTCACACCTGAATCACACACACCACTGTGCGCTGTGGTGTGAGGCAATGTGCATCGCCACGTATGCATCTGTTGAGAGCTACCACTGGCCATTACAAGCGCCTTTTTTTTCCAGTGGTAGTGTGCGCTGGGCATTCTGCTTTTTGAACGTCTCAAGTAGATTTTTTTTCAGAATTTTCTGACCTGCTTTTGCCAAACTTGGGTCTTTATTGGAGCACCATCTCATGTGCTGCCGGCCAGTGCATAGATATAAGAGGCGATCGCGTTCTTTCGTTCCAAACCTGCTTAGTGAAATATTCCGCAGGCATCTCCGTGCAGCATCCTGCGTGCATCGCTGCCATATTTGCAGATATTTAGCCGATAATATTCTTTACAGCAAGAGAACCCCCCCCCCCCCTTAGAATCTGTTTTACTCGTGTAGTTTTCTATATCATGATATTTTATTACAATAGTCACTCCACTCGCACAAGACATTGTTGAAATGGTTTTCTGTGTTATAAGAGGAGAGGCAGCTTTGTCTGCGTGCCCAGCGTTCACAAAATTAGCAAAATTGAACAGAAGATAAGATCTGAACAGGTTGTTAAAACATGGCTAAATATTGGCCAGATTCCCTAACGGTCTACGTTCTATTCTTACTGGAGCGCCCAGCTGGCCAGAGAGAGTGGTGAAAACTCTCTAAACTTGCTATTTTATGAACACGTGAAAGAAAATAGAGTGAAGTAAAAAAAATACTACGAACTGTAAGAGAAGAAATGTGTAACGATGCTAACAGCAATTTGTAAAGATGCGTAGCAAGCAGCAGCAGCAGCAGGCGGCAATGGGTTAAAAAGTGGTAAAAACAAGCGTGGTGAGCAATGTGAGGTATGACTGGTTATGCTGGGATGTATTCTTATGAGCTCAAGTATTGTCGTTCCAGCCATGCTGGTGACTGGGGCATGCACGGCGGGTGAATAAATAGTAATTTTTCGTGAAGTCTCTGGAAACAGGGTATTCTGCAGACACATGGCGGACAAAAAGCCATCGGAAGCGGCTTCAGCAAGAGGCCATGTTGGATAGTGACGCCCTGCACCTTACTCCTCAGGTACATGCTTGTTTAACTGTGAGTACAGGATTAGGACTATAGGAAGAACGTCATCTGGTTTGTGGTGGTGCTGGCAGTGTTAGCTGGACCATTCCGGCTAGACTCCGCTCCGTTTCCCTGCCGCGCAAACAACAGCAGCAACGTACAGGACAAGCAACAAGAGGAGAAGTTATTCAATGCACGGCCACCGTGCATGTACGTTTGCAACATGCATACAAGTATACTGGTTGAACATACAGCCAACTCCTTGGTTTAACGAACACAATTTTGTGCAGGAGAATTAGTTCTTCATAGCCGAAGTTTGTTTTAACGGAAATGCACTCACACTATGCAAGTAGCAAGTCATGACTGGCAAGTGGCCCATGACAGCATGACTGCACTTGGTTTACATGCAGCCCTACAAGATTTGGTTCGTTATAAACGAAAACTGTTCGCTATAAAGGGTCAATTAATATTTTGTATGGGTTCAAACAGGGACATGGACAAGGGTTCACGAAATTCGATATGCGAGTTCGTTATAAGTGGAGTCGACTGTACACTGGTACTAGCATACCAAAGAGCGTATAAGCACTATCCTGTGGTCACAGAGCCTCGAAGTTCGGAAAGTTACGTTTTCCTTAACTACAACAGCATGCATACGATAAGTACAGTACCAAGTACTTATTTCACCTTGGTTTGGCAGCAAAGAGAGTACTTTGTATGTTTGTTGAGAGCCAGGGTAGTGTGTAGATGTGCATGTGGCTGTGTTTGAAGGTTGAGAATTCTTTGAAAAGACTAGTCCATTCACAAAAAAGATGGGCCCTGGCTCTGGCGAGCTCCCGTATTCGGCGATTTTTCAAGATTTTATCGTACACAGTGCAGTGCTGCGAAATTTGAAATTTGAAAAAGGGTCCAAAAAGGGTGCCTGAACTGGGGTTCGAACCACACAATGCACTGTTGCAGGCAGGGTCAAACGGCCTGGATTTTGATGGTTTTTCCCCAATTCAGTGCTCTTGGGGCAAAATGTGGCCGAAATCCTATTCTTGTTAGGGCTTGCTTTTTGGAGAAATAGACTTCAGAAACATAATTGGAAGAGGATTCCATAGGGGATTGCAGAATAAAATTCTAAAAAAAACTAAATGTTTGACCCATTTATGGCCAAAACCTAGAAGTTCATCTTTTTCTGAATGGACTGTATAAGCACACTACACAAAAGTTTGAGGCATTACCTGATCGACAACCGTCGTGTACGTGGCCAATACCTTGACTTTACCAGAGATGTCCTTTGCATTGGGTTTACCATCTAAACAACGAATCATATTGAAATAAGAATAAGGATTAGCGCATAGCAGTTACATGAACAATGCACACACACTGGAAGCTACTGAACAGTCAAGAAATCAGGCAAACACCACAGCCAAGTCACTGTCAAGCACAGGGCCCGCCAAACTAGCAGTACGGGAAACTGCCCATTGCAGTGTTTACACGGTAATAACAAGTGCTGAGTGTTGAGCACTTCACACAGTTCACAGCGAGGGAAACTATTCAAACTAACACTTACATTGGGGTAGTGTCCACAGTGACGCAAATACACCCTGGTACAACAGAGTCTAGAGAGGAAAGAAACAACAACAAAAGAGTTCACAGGAATTCAGCCCATACTAGTATTCCCCTTTTGCAAAAGTCTACACTAAGAAAGTGGTGGACAACGCGCAACTGCATTATGGAGAAAAGGGGGTTTGTCAACTGACAACCGCTCCATTCAGTTGCTATTCACAATCGGTGGGCGACTGGCCCGAAACATCATAGTTTTTTCGATATCACAATAACATTAATTTTTCATCCAGCGCATGCGGCGGTTGTGAATAGCAACTGAATCGAGTGGTCGTCAGTTGACAAATCCCCTTTTCTTCGCAAAAGTCAGCTTGCAAATTCGGGATCCTGACAAATCAACACTTTGGCTCGCATGAAAGTACAGTAGGTAGGAATGTCCGCGTTCCGATAAGCTAAACGCTGACTCATCTACCGAGCGCACACTGCAGCGAAGGTAGCTGGAAAGGAAATTTAACCTGAAGCATGCAGTGTTTTCACTATGCCATGTACAAATGATACGCCCAACAACTAGCCAGTCGCCCATTACATCGGAGTAGTGAATGAGCAACCTAAATATTTGCCACCCATGTGACATCGCCATTGAGGGCCAATGACTCCTTGTCATGAAGGTTTTCACTTAACTGGCTGGTGGAAAGCATGTCAATCCTGGTGTAGACTGTGGGTGTGAGGTACCCCAACCAGCAATCTCTACGGCCGTGTCATTCTTTTCAACAAGACAGGAGGAGAGCCTCCAGTAGTATGTCCATAGTAAAGCAGATGTTCGTTTGTTCAAAACAGACCATCAATAAGAAACTGGACTGATTGTTGGCTGAAAGTATTAATGTCTGAGGCCCCGGAATTGGCAAACAGCCTCTAGTGCAATGTTGAGTTACTTACGGTCTTGATGACTGACTGTTCAGACTGGAATGTTTGCAGTTGCTCTTCACCCTCACACCAGCACACTCGCATCTCCACAGCCAGCGGGCAACTACTGTTACTTGTCGTGGAGAGTGAGAGTAGCACCCTGCAGCATGACCAAACAACGCCACATACACACACAACCCCACATACGCACACATACAAACACAGTGACACTTGTGTACTTGCACTTGCTCACTACCAAAACTAGTTACGTGGATCTCCCCGGGAGAGGGCCCTCAGAGGGGAGAGAGATGGAAAGATGAAGCTATTGAACCGCCTAATGGCCGACACACCCTAAAAACCCAAAGTCTGCATGGACTTGGACATGATCCCACTTATTGGCTCACCACAATTCAGTAAGTGAGCGAGGACAAGGTGCAGAAAAAAGGATTGACGGCATTAGGGTATCCGTCCCGGGATCCAACTGCAGTTACCCCTGCCCCCAGTGAAGGTAATACTTACTATTAGTGTGGGCGGCTAAATCACACGCACACACTCACGCACACACGCACACACCCAGGGGCGTGCTCGGCCCCCCAACTAGGGGGGGGGGGTGCACGGGAGCCGAGGGGAGCCCCCCCGGCAATTTTCTGCATTTTGTTTGCAACCTTTCTTGAATTTTAGAGCATATTTGCATACATTACAATTGCAATTACCCAGATTGAAAATTTTTGGGGGGTGCACGTGCCCCCCGTGCCCATCGCCGAGCACGCGCCTGCACACCTGTCCTCATAGTAGGCTCATATACATGTAGGCTATTTGAGATGGTCAAAGTGAGAAAACAGGTTGCATTTCTTCAAAGAAGAGAGCTGAACACAGACAGCAGCTTACCCTTGCGGTGTTGAGTGTGCTGTATGGGAAAACTCCAGCGCTGTACAGATCGAACAGCAAATGCGCTCTGTAAACTCCACAGCTGAATCGTCCAATATTGCCAACACCTAAGAACCAAGAGAGGAGAGAGAGAGGGGAGAGAGAGAGAGAGCATGTGTGTTAGGAGCATGTGTACTTGAGTATGTGTGTGCACGTGGGTGGGTGTTTAGGATCCATACACGGTTGGGTGGTTTGCTTGACAGCAGGATGACAAATCTGCTGGTGGTGACTGGACTGGGCCCTCCCGGCCAGGGATCCACTGTTGGTATGGAAAATTCACAACATGACATGACACTTAAATCACTGAATTTGTACGTGTTTACGCCAAGCAGTGTTCGCACCAGTTCCAGGGCATCAGATACATGTGTGAACTTTGGGTTGAATTACGCCTAGCACCCCTGCACGGTATTAGTATGGGTGGGTACATACCTCGCGAGTTACTGTCGGTAACATCTTAGCCTTGCGCGGAGCATTCCCTGCGGGCGCCGCACTCTCCGCATCTCTCATCACCGACCTGTCCAGGTCCAGACTGATAGGGATGGTGAGACAGGAGTGTGGCGACAGCGACGGCATTGTGAACACCACGGCTCTGCCTTTTGACTCGCACCACTTTAGCGTGACATCCTCCTCTTTACCTGCAGAGAGAGAGCAGCGCATGCCCACAGCAGCGAGACAGTAAAAGAGAGTAAACTGGCAAAGTGAAAGAGGGAACGAAACTAGGTAATACAACAGCTATGAGTGCAAGGCTCAACGTCAAATTAATAGCCTTCAGTAAGGTTGATAGAAGTAAACACACGTGTATCTTCAATGAAAAACACAGATGTTCTGACCGTCTGGAACAAAATAGTCACTCCATAAGGTTAGACGTGACAATAGGTACACCAGTCACCAGTATGTGTGCGTGTGTGTGCGACACATTGTGGTAGCAAACGAATGAAGACGAGGGGGAGGGAAGAGAGAGAGAGAGAGAGAGAGAGAGAGAGAGAGAAACACACCTGTTTGCCGACAAACGAGCCTGGCTTCCACCGTCTCATCGAGACAGATGGTCATTCCATCCACTGGTGTCAGGATCAGCGAGACAAAGTGTTCAATGACGTCATCAGCCGTGCTCACATTCAGTAACAGCGACTCTTTGGTACCCGCGAAAAGTAAACGATTCTCACCTGTTGTCACAAGACAAGAACATAGCAGAATATGGTACAACAAAACCGCACGATTAAAATACATGTAGTGTAGTACAACATGTGCTGCGGCCGATGTTTGGGGTTCCTGAAGAGAGGGTCAATCATGAGTACAGTCAACTTCGCTTATAACGACACTCGGCGGGGCATCAGAAAAGTGTCCTTATTCGCGAAGTGTCGTCATACCCGAAGTCTCATTATATGTGTCACAGTTGGATGGGACTTTGCTCTGGGCATGAAAATTGTGTCGTTATTCGCGAATTGTCGTTATATCCGTAGTCCTTATTACCGAAGTAATTTAGTTGACTGTATGCCCCTCAACATTGGCCAGCTATACACTAAGGAGTTTACTGGCATCAGCAGTGAAATTCACAGAGCCATTTACGACTCGTAGCAAGCCATTACCTCAGCGACTGCACCCATGACACACTTCCTAGGGTTCCCTGTAAAAAGGCGTCGTCGCCTGTTGGGAATTCCCTAGTAAAACAAGAATTAATAATAATAATAATAATAATAATAATAACTTGCGACGTAGTTGTGTAAAAGTAGTTGAAAAGAGAAGTGAATGTGAGGCATCATGTCATTTCAGCCATAGGGACAGAATATCACTGTATAGTACCGGCCACTGCCTTCATCATTTTAGTCTCCGCGGGTGTCAGGCTACATAGCACACACCGGGAATGATGATCTTACACAGCGTGTGTGTGTGTGTGTGTGCGTGTGTGTGTGTGTGTGTGCACGCATGCTTAAGCATGTTTTTCGATCTTGACAGCATGTTACAAGGCGAGGACGCGTAGTGCTCCTGACTGCAACCATAACCCGGTTGGAAAACATGTTAAACTACCAAGCAAGGCTTCTGTATATACCATGCTTAAGCATGCGCGTACATGCATGTGCACATGCATTTCTGTCCGTGTGTGCATGTGCGTGCCTAGCGGATGCAACACAGCATGCACACACACTACAATGTATGTAGTACAGTGCACAGTGAATGGTGCATGTAGTGCAGGGGACTGACCTACCTGATGCTAGCTGTAGGTCTATAGAGTAACTGGGCTCGGCGGGTACCACATCCAAAGCCAGTACACTGCTATCAGCCGTGGACGAGAGTGACCCAATGGTCTGTGCCGATGGGAACATGGCACTACGAGACTGCGAGAGGATGTACGCTAGCCGCACCTGACCGAGGTCGAGCTGAGCGGACGCCGCCGTTAAATGCCCGACGATGGTGCTCTGGTGACGGTTGATACAGCAAATGCCACGGGACACATGCACATACGCGTGCGCGCACACACACACACACACGCGCACACACACGCACACACACACACACACACACACACACACACACACACACACACACACACACAAGCATCTTAAAATACAACACAAGACCCAAGTAGTGATAGCAAAAGCAAAGCTTGATATGAACCTGCAAGCAGAGAGCAAATGGATTCTGAGTTAAAATCAACATAAACATTAGACACTATGTTCATGGCTGGATATAGCACAGCTATAGTGTGTATAAAAACCATGCAACTGAGTGCTGCGAGTAACTGTTACAGGGTTGGAATTCAAATGACGCAAAACACAAGTCTGGATACAGATCTCCAAGAAGAAACACACACACACACACACACACACACACGTGCACACACAGCCATACCTGCGACGTCAACTCGACGAGATTAGCGCCAGGGCGCAGCACAACATCACTTGCCGACAGGATGAGATCTCGACTGCTACAGCTAGGCATGCGCTTGAAGGAGTCGGACGGCTGACTGGAAAAGAGAAACTCAAACTCCTCGGGACCCCTGGTGAAGTGTTCGCTACGAACGGTATCAGGAGACATCGGATCATCCTTCTGAGGGCACACAAGAGAACGCACACCAGAGGGAATTCGAGTCGGGCAAATACTAGTATGTGTACCAGAGAATACATGAACAACATCTATAGAGTGGCTTTACCTCTATAAAATGACAATACGGGACAGCAAAGTTGCTTCCAACTCCACTCTTCAGTCAACCCCTGCATCTATGGGTCACATGGTGTCGGCTATGTTGGTTGGACTGTCCACATCATGCATCATGACACGCCCTGATCACTTTCTACACAAAATCTAGTCAAATGACAACGATGTGAAAATGCTCCATAGCATAGCACGCACTACAATGTAGCAACTCTGCATGCCATGACATTCTAGTCCCTTTAGAGTGACACAGGCTGAGAGACTCCAGACCGTTTTCAAAAATTTATTTCGGGATTTATGTACTTTTGGTGATACACATACCGACAAGTCCGGGCAATAAGGGATACCTGGTGATGTGTAACAATTCTCCTGAACGGAGGTTTAGTTCAGACAATTGAGGTTTAGGAAAACCAGGGTTTTGGGAAGTCAGGTCTAAGTGTAAGTGAGGTTCAAGTGCACCTCAACAAGGCTGATCCTTCTCTCGCGTCTGCTTCACCAAGCCAATAGACACCCTTAGCAAACAACGTTATGTTGTAACGGTATTACTGTAAGGGGAAAAATACCGAGATTTGGGTTCGACCTTTAGCAAGATACACGCTAATTTTAGTACGCTGTTGCCATGAGTATAGCTTTTATTTCGCGCGGTACAACCACTTATGGCTCCATATACGCGATAAAAGGTGAAATGGGTACGCACTACGCAATATTTGGCCAAAAAACGTACCGTTTGTCACAACGATAAATCAACCCCCATAACGTTTTTTACGCTGCAGATTCAACGCTATTTGGGTGATCCAGGTTCGAGTACCGTAGAAAATAGCGTTACCGTTGTTGGCCAAGGGTGTCAAATGTCTATCAGCAACGTTTCTATGTGTGTACTGCCTTGGGCTGAGACTCGAAACCAGACTCAAACAAATCTTAATCCACATCTTAATCTTTTCTTTCCCGTTTCGTTGGTGCCATTATCTGCCATTAGAGTGTACTGGGGGTACCCACACCCCTGTCGCCAATGGAAGCCATGGTGGGCTGGAAACAGTCGAAGCGTGCAGCCTCAGTGACTGGGCCACGAAGCATGCAAAGCGGTCTGCCCGGATTCGTGACCTGATTGATGCCGAGCTCTCGGCGAACGACTTCGTTGAGGATGAATCGCATTGTCCATATGCTGTTGGTGATCGAGTGATGTTACAGCACCCAGATCGACATCAGAAGCGCCTTGCACCATTTGAGCGTGGCTGGATAGTTAAGGCAATCGTGAGTCCAATGACTGTGGTTATTGAAAAGCCAAGTCCGGACAACCGTCGAGTGCCGGAAAAGGTTGTCAACATTGCCTTGCTGAAGAAGGATCTTCCTAATGATTCTGCCTATGTAGCTCCCACAGAGGCTAGCATTTGTAGTGACGATGAAGATGACAATGGTATTGGTGTCACCATCAATATGGCTCCAGCTGGACGGTATGCGCTACGACCTTGTGGCCAGCTCCAGGCATCAGCACATTATCGAGTAACAGTATGGCCATTGTGTAACCGGATATGGTATCAGGGGGAGAGGTGAAGTAGAATAGTTCACCTCATTCTCCACAAGTACATGACACCATAATGCACAACTATTTATTGCTTCGAATTATAAACTTGAATTTGTATGTCGTGTTCTTCGTTTGAGACTTTGCTTACCGTTCTTCTATCCATGCTCTGCATTCTCCGCGCCTGCTCTGTTCCTTTCTTCTCTTGCTAATGCAATGTTTCCTTTTCTCTGACTCACAGACTGTCAATTTGTCTAGTTTCAAATTGTTTCATCGTCTGCCAGGTTGCAGAAATCGTTTCCTGCATCGTAGCTAACTGTTACTTTTTCGAACACATTTTCGCGTAGGCATTTTCACGAGTTATCTTGACGTCATGCCCTATCAGCTACGGCTCATACTGCTTCTGCCTTATTTGCATGCTGCGCTTGCTGCACAGGTTAGCGTCTCCACGCTTGCTGGCCAAAGCCCCATTGACTGCGCCGCGTCCGTGCTCGCACACGTCAGCCGGGCTGCTCCACGTCCCCGCCGGTTCCGTTGAGAGTTCCGGTTTTTCTTCTGTTGTTGATTAGCTCTCCCAAGATTGAGTTCGGTTGTTGTTTTCTCTATATCCTTACCTAACTAATTCATTTCCAAGCACCAGTCCTTTTATTTACATTACTGTCAGAGTCCGCCGTTGTGAGTGCTGTGTGCGGAGCACATGTAGTGGTGAATAATTGTTGTGCGTACACAGACACAACACAGAGAGGGAACGAGACGTTTCTCTCGGAACTCGGAGGGATAAATATGCAATCCACGTGCAGGATGCCACAAATGTACAGACTGGATAATGCAGACAAAATGAAATACAGTGCTCTGGGCCACTGGCCAAGGCGAGCAGATACTGTAGTGTCTCGTATCAAAGCCTGTCTCGTATAGAAGCCGGTTTTGAATACAAGCCTGATTTTCAAGATACACTAGTGGCACATAAGCCTGGCTGTATTGTCAAACGAGTACATAGAAATACCTGGTTCGAACGGACGCCTGATTTGAATAGAAGCCTAGCACTGACATCGGCTTCTACAGGAATACGCCCGGCTTTATCATTTCGCAACATTACGTAAGTCCTGTTTAACTCTACAAGTCTTACCATCTCTTCAAGCATCACTGGCGGAGAAGATGAAGCCGACTCTGCGCCGCTCATCGACACGTCGTGCATGTCGTCGAACACAATCGTGCTCCGTCGCGGGTGTCTGGCCGTCGACGCCACCGCCCTCGGTGAGACACTGGGGTTGGACATGGCCGCCGTGAAGCGCCGCACGCTGCGCAGCGAGTGCATCTGCAATGTCACACTCGGACATTGTAAATCCTGCATGGCAGCCAACAAGCACAAAAAGAGACAGAACTTTGCATGTGCCTACATTCCTTCAGTGCAATACGTCACCGAAGCATTAACCCCCAAAATGCAAAAAGAGCCTAAAATAGTAAAAATGTCACCCTCGGACATTGCAAATCCTGAACGGCAGTGAACAAGCAAACAAAAGACAGAACTACCGGTATTTGTCTACATTCCCACATTCATTCTAGCAGGTTAAGGCTCAGTGTCTACATTCCCTGAGTGCCTTGTAATACGTCACCTAAGCATCAACCCCCAATATGCAAAAGTTTAAATCCTGCAAGGCAGCCAATGAGCAAAAAAATGACAGAACTACAGCTGCGCTCACTGAAATCCGACCCAAAGTGAAGAAAAAAACTGGCGCCCTGGACCAGTTCCAATTACATCACTTTACTTGTACATGTGTACGTCCAGCCGCATCCGTACCACTTCCAGAGCGTCAAGGACCGTGCAAGCTGAGGGCACCAGATATGCACTTTGGGTTTGGATTTCACCGAGCACAGCTGTATTTGTCTACATTCCTTGAGTGCCTTACGTCACCGAGGCATCAACCCCCAAAACGTTAAAGAGTCTAAAATGAATGCACCATGCGTACTGCATGCACATCCGTCTGTCTCTTGTTTCACTCGATTGTCAGTACAGTAGTACCAAGCGCGTAGCTCGCGCATCTGTGGTGTTGTGACTACGTACCAGACTTCACATCTGTGGTGTGGTGACTATGTACCATCGGCAACGTCATAGGTGCCATTTTGCCTATGTAGTAGATACCGGTATGACGGCCACTTGCTGGTGTGGTGGCCGGACTACGCCGACTAAACACGAGCTAATCGCCTAAGCGCACGGCTGGTGCTGTGTTTGAAAGACTCTCCAGCTGGAAACTTACCCTGGTTGCGGTCGACACGACGGTCATACAGACGGTTATCGGTTGGCGAGGGCGCACTTCCGGTGTGGTGGTGGTGATACCACCGATCACAACCAGTGGCTTGCCGGGCAGAATCAGCTTGTTGCTTACTTTTCCTGCAGACAACAGTACAGCAGTATAACATACAACAGTCAATAGACAACAGCCAACAGCAGCAGCAGCGGCCGTTGCAGCAGCAACAGCAACAGTAGCAGCAGCAGCAACAGCAGCAGCAGCAACAGCAGCAGCAGCAACAGCAGCAGCAGCAGCAGCAGCAGCAGCAGCAGCAACAACAGCAGCAACAGCAGCAAAAACCACCAGCAGCCACAGCAGCAGCAGCAGCAGTAGCAGCAACAGTCAACAATAACAGTGAATTGAATAATGAGTGCATGCTGCACAAGAGTGGAAAACAGCGAAGATCTCAAACGTATTGAGTGAATGTATCTCTACAACCCACACAATGTAAACTCGTTACAAACATCAGTACGATGTGCTAACAGAGAAAGTGACACACAAGGTTGAGTGCAATAATGTTGACCAGTAATTAATGATACAGTACATGTACTGACCTGATGATACACTGGGCACATCTCCGTCAGCACTGTCCTTTGCTACAGGACCCAATGCCTCCTCGTTGCTGGTTGTGCTGGCTGTCTCCAGTAGGGAGAGGTACTTCTCACGCTTCTCCACCGACAGTGGTGTCTTGCTAGAGGCTAGGACAGAGCAGGCCACCAAATATCTGAGAGACAGCGCGATCAGATGTAAGGAAAACACGGACGCACGGACACTACAACCAGCCCAGCTAACATACCGCACAGTAAACGTGTACTGAGCAAGCAATACTTGATTACATGTACTTGGCATCGGAGGTGGGTCATCGTAAGTACACAGTGCACAGCCATGCTCCTAAGTATGAGCCGATGTGTTTAGCACAATCACCTGTATGTGAAGACCGGCTCTCTGTGCACTGCGGAGCGGGCACCAAAGACAGATTTCACACTATGACAGACTAGTACAGGCAAGTGCAGCCAGCCATCATGTACCATATTACAACACAGAAATCGTGTACCGTATTTTACCAGTTATAAGTCAACCCCCATACTGGGGGCCTCAATTTCCCCGTCCAATGGTAGTTGAACCCCGGTTTTAAGTCGACTGAGAAAAAGGTTGATTTATGATCGGTAAATACGGTACATGCAGAAGTATCACACAGCATACAGGCAAAGCAGCGTAGACCAAAACACGTTTCTTCTGTACCACACAGCACATGTCTGTATGTGGGAGATGGGATGCAAGCAAAGCTGTACGAGAGGATACTTCTGAGTCTTGCCCAGCGCTAGCCAGCACTCCGCCAGCAGCTCCAGGTTCTGCGCCATGATGCTGGGAAGCAGACTGCTGCAGGCTCCCGAACACGCTTCCATTAGTAGTGGCTCTGCCTGCGCATACTCCTTGAACTGACTGCAGACACACATGCATACAACAAAAGCAGGAGTAAAACAGAAGAGAACGATAAGTGGATCGCTATCGGAGATCTTTTCAACATCAAGCATGCATGCACAAACACACACACACACTATATTGCTGCCTTCCCGAACTAAGAAAACTACCCATCCATTCGTGACAGGTAAAGTCATTCGACCCATAGCCTCGTGGAGGAGAATATCTAGCAATTGTATAATACATGCACATGCTAAGTGGACAAAAAACACGATTTCCAACAACTCACACGAAATACTTTGCCAGCTCAACACACACGATAGAAGCCTGTCTGTGTCGACCTTGCTGGATGAACAGTGCACGTGCCATATTGGACAGCTCCTGAACACATACGCACACACATACGCACACACATACACGCACCCATGCAAGCACACACACACACACACACGCGCGTGCGCGCACACACACACAAAGACGCAGAGAAAGGGCATAGAACGAACGCACTGCCATTGGCACAGCAGTCTTACAACAGAGATTGGAATGCACTCCACTGCCTCGTCCCAACAAACCATCAAGTCACTGACATCGCAAACAATTCCATTCACTGCCTCGTACCAACAAACACACCAAGTCACTGACATTGCAAACAAGAGCCATCCACACTTGGCACAGGAAATATAAACCCATGTCATGTAGCATGGCGACAGAACTGGCACTGCATAGCTTAGCGCTACACTCACGTGCCAGTCCAGCAAGGCACTAAGATTATAGAGGTAATCCGGCATGACCAGTCACATGATAGGGTTGATTCGAACGGAAAGTTGTTGCACGACCTGTCACTTATCACATACGGGACTTGCTATTCCTTGCATAAATCCATCACATCACGTGACTTGCCATCTCCTCACATAAATCCATCACACTTGTGACTTGCCATCTCCCCGCATAAATCCATCACACCTGACGTGCCAGTCCCCACATAAATCCAACACACGCGTGACTTGCCATCCCCACATAAATCCAACACACGCATGACTTGCCCTTCCTTACTCTCCACATAAATCCAACACATGTGTGACTTGCCATTCCCCAGTAATCCCCACATAAATCCATCACACACAGGTGTGGATCACATGACACAGCAATAAGCTCTACAGAATCGATGCAAAGAGCAAGCACTGAAAGGTGAACGGCAAGCATTAATTTATCACGTACCACATAGTGACTCGTGAACTCCTCGCTGGAGCAGAGCGCCTTGCACAGACGCGACGGGGCCGTGGATTCCTCATCGTCTGAGCACAGGCAGGCCAGGCAGACGAACACAATGAAAGCACCGGTCAACGGAAAGCATACTGTTAGGTAGCGTGTCCAGGGAAAAACATCTGCTACACACTGCGATGCGGGAAAGCCATTACATTGTAGGACATGGAGCGAACTCAAAGCATATCGCATAGCCCCCCCCCCACACACACACACACTGAGTAAGTTACTTCAGTGTGTTTGTTCACAGTCTTGATTCGATTCCAGGTACACCAGCAGTTATCTGTACTCTAATGCACAAACGCAAATCGAAAGAATTCCTCTTAACAGATTGAAACTTGACTTGCGTATACAGAAGCGGCGTCTGCCTGCGCGAATCGACTCAGCGACGTCAACAAACGGTACAACTGCATCATGCTTACCAGCTTGTGCGATGCAGCCAGTTATTAGTCGTGCCACGTCGACGCGTTTCTCCTCGGCGACCTTCTCTTTAGTAAGGCCCGCAAGTGAGGCCAGCTGATATAGCTGCACAAGACAAACAGAACAGCCATGTGTTACAGAAAGTCACAAATCACGCAGAATAAGGACACCATGATGGCTCTTCACACATACACATGCAGGCACGCATGCACAAGCGCGCACGACCGCCATATTCTACGGTTCCATACCCGAAAAAGGTTTAAAGACATCGCAAAGGCAACTGGCATTAATAATCTCCTCGAACCTGGTGACAGTGCTAAGGCAGACAAGATCTTTGACATTACAATTTTGTGATCTTCAGGCTCAGTCTGGTGTTTGACTTAACATACCTCCATTCCGCCGGAGTCAATGACAGTTCTGAACCAAACTTCTTGAGCACAGTAACTCCATGGAAGGCGAATAAAAAAAAGACACACCGTTTTGTTTCCAGAGGAAGTACAAAGCCGGTCAGCATACCTTTCGCTGTGCATAGTGCATGAGCCTCGCTTTGTTGAGAGTGAGCAGGGAGACCTGCTCCGGGTCATTGGTCGACTGAGCCAGAAGCTTGTCGATCAGATTCGACACCTGAAAACATGACAGGTACACCCAGCTCTCCGTCACACCAGGAACATTATCGATCTGCAGCCAAAAACAGAAAGAGTGCAAGTTCATGACAGGGTCAGAACACATGGACTAGGAGCTAATTAAACCGGTTTAACCCCTAGTTGTTCTGCAATTAAGTCACACTGTTGCTCTTTATGTGTGTGTGTGTGTGTGTGTGTGTGTGTGCACGTGTGCGTGCGCATGCATGCGTGTGTGTGTGTGCGTGTGTGTGTGTGTGAGCGTGCGTGTGTGTGCATGTTGATAGGGTCAGGTTTGTAATGGTTAGTAGCTGTGAGTGTGTGTTGTAACGGTACGATGCGTTGTTCAGTCCTGGCACTTCTGATGGTACACCGTGCGATGTTTTCTTCTCACATGCGTCCCGTGCATCTCTCCGTGTTCCCACTGTGTCATTCGTTTCTGCCCTTGAGAATTGACAATTCCTGGTCGCTCTATCATCCAGTTAGGTGCTGCATCTGCCGCTAGGGTTTACCGGGTGTTAGCAGCAATCGTGAGTTCCCTTTGGGAACGGACACGATAATTTACATTTTTTTACTATCATTCAGTGTATTTGTCTCACTTACCCGCATCGCGTCGATCTCGCGTAGCGTCGCATGAAGGAACGGCAGCGCTCGCTTGGCCACCTCCACACCACGACCCATCTCGCACAGAAGAGCCGACTGGCGCATGAACAGGTGGTTTCGAATATCGAGCAGCGATGCCCCGCGCGACTTGAGCAGCTCCCGATATTTGACCGACGTCGTCTTGCCCAGCGGTACTCCGGCAAACTCCTCAGCCGGTATACAGATGTCCTCCAACCACGACTGCATTTCTACATCACAATACAGAAACAAATAGAAGCATATACTAGTGCATAGTGCAACATCATGGATTTCTAACATTAAAAGTTGGACGGGTCTTCCCTTGCATGCTCTCTCCCATGCAGCACACGATAGAGTTGGATTCAGAGACATCATTCACAATTCTCTCGCTGATTAATGCCTCTACGATCACCTTGTGATTATGAGTTATACATACATACATACATACATACTAGTGCATGGAATAATGGATCGAAGACTCCACGTGCAGCTCTTCAGTCTGCAAAATGGCTACCAGCACGGGTCTTGAACTCGGGACCTCATGATTCGCAGGCAGGCCTGCAAACCAATCGGCCATATGCGTTGGGAACGTACAAAAGACAGTTTACACGCGATGACCTGCGCCGACAGCCACGGTCAACTGGGTACTCACAGCTCGGAGTTGGGATAACAAGGATGCAGTTTATGGGGTTATGGGCCGCTACACGCCCGATAGGTTGAGAGACTCGCCTCCTCTCCCTTGACTCACTCGTGAGGTCTGCATTCGCCACTAAGGCGTACTAACAGTACAGGCATAGTGAATCTGTGATGGCCTGCGGATGCGAAGGCTAGTTTGTGTGTTTCTGAACATTCAAAAGATGTGGACGCGGATCCCGTGAATATTTTATTATTATAATAATTGTTGTAACATGGCGGTCAAAACACGCCGAATATCACACGCTCTATCTAGCTGCAAACAGCTCTGTCACATCTTGCAAATCCACCTCCGCTCACCATCAAAAATCAGTTCACGCCCGGCACCTTGTCAATGAGTGATGAGATCTTGCTTGGCATTGTTGGTGCATCGTTGCTGCATGTCATCGACTCTGCGCCATGCACGAACTGATGCACCAGCCAGCTAGCGAGATCTCGCCACCCATTGACTGCACCAGGCGCGAACTGGTGGTGATGGTGAGAGGAGATGGGGACTTGCAAGATGTGACAGAACTGTTTGCAGCTAGAGAGAGCGTGTGATATTCGGCATGTTTGACCATCATTTGACAGGACACTAGCGTACCTGTACATGCATACAACTTCAGGCTGAAACCACATCATGTACTAAACAGCATACATACAGCATTCTTGCACAAGTTGGCAAAGAGACAAACGTGAAATCTAAAACAATCCATATATTTGACTCAGCGAGTCAAGCAGACCTTTCCGTAGCTACTTTCTTTCTTCTTTTTGCTCCACGGTACCATTCTATCTGTTTCGGAACGCATTTCTACTATCGCAAGTTGTCACAGCTGTTTAAAGCTGCCCCCTGATTAATTACTGCTGTAACAGTTGCTCAATGCCTCGTTGTAAAAGAAAAGAAGGAAAGGGGGAAGGACAAGTCTTTTGGCTGTTGTTTTCTTTGGAGACAGCAAGTATTGCTTTCCAAGCCAGTTTGGTGGCAGATGTGAATGCATGAGGTCAATCAGGCATCTTATACTCTAGGCACATGTGTCAGTGACTTTGTGACTTTGTACTGGAGCCTGAACAGTGTGTGCGGATGGGGCCAAACTCACCGCCAGCTGAGGTGTTGTTGATGAACTGTGACAGGATAGCATCCAGCTCATCATACTGCACCAGACTCTCATTCAAGCAGCCCCACATCTCAAGCAGAAAGGCAAGTTGCTCCTACGCAAACAAACAAACACCCCCCCCCCCCCCCCCCCACACACACACAAGCACACACACACACACACACACACACACCCAAGCACACACAAACACGGTGAGTCAACGGTGAGTAGACTACCCCCAGTAGTACACACCATACAGTGCTCTAACCCCCTATAAACATAATATGCAACAGATACAGTCATACTAAATTCTTAGGGACCACTTCAAATAAAACCAAGACAGCATAACTCCCACAAGAGTGCACCCCCAGTTTCAGTGCTAGTAACTTCAAAATAGCAATGGCTCTTGGAGTTCCCAGCTAACTTTTCCCACGCTCAACTGAACAACACTGAACAGAAAATGACCGCTCCACGACAAAATGTCCATGTCAGTGAGGGAATGAAAAAGGATAACTGATCTCAAAATGTCAAATTCTCAAATTTAGCTCTTACAGAGTTTTAGAACAAAATTACTCGAGTCCAGAGTACTAACCTGCAGTAGGAAATGATCGGAGTAGTGCCAGCGTGACGTGCGACACTGCTCGCGCCGCTCGCGCACGTAGTCCTCGGAGCGCAGCATCAGCTTGGACAGCGCCTGCACGATCTGCTGGCGCACGCGCACCACTAGCGCGGTGAACGACGGCGACTCGGCCGACGAAATGCCGCCGGGCACCACACGCACAGAGCAACACCTGAACCATAGTAGCACATAGGTGTACATGTAAGTGTGTGCATGCATGCATGCACATACCCACACACATATACATACATACACAAAAACACCATAATCGGGAATCAGCCATGCCCAACATCAAGCGTACGTCCCTCCCTCCCACCCTGCCTGCCCCCCCCCCCCCCCCCCCCACACACACCTACACACCTAACCCTGAAAGTTCAAACTCCTATCACAGACATACTAGTAAGCCGGTGCAGCATACTGACCTGGTTGGCTGCTTGGCACAAAACTCGCTCTTGATCTTGTCGTAGATGGTAGCATTCTTGCCGGCTTTTTTCACCTCCTCGACAACTACGATGACGTAGTTTGGACAGTTGTTGTCGTGGAGCAGCTTCAGCCATTGAATAAGGCTATCACGGTTACCATTCTTGATGAAAGAGTTGATATCCTACAGGAACGAAGAGAAACACAGTCAAACCTGGCTAAGTTGACTGCTCAAGGCACCCCGGAATATATGATCCCCTTACCCAGGGTCATTTGACTGGAAACGACAGCCTTTGTCCCTGATTTCCGTTGTCATGGCATGGTTGAACTGACAAAAAGACTGATTTCACTGACCTGTAGAAGGTAGTTGGGTGGACACACCCATTCCCAAAGCACTGCAAAGGACCGAACCAATTCTTCACGTACGTTTCGGCAATATTGCCATCGCCAGGTAAGAATGAATGAACCTGTTTGTGATGAACAATCTCTTAGAAATACATAATTTAAAGAGCCCATTTACCGTTTCGCCGATCCAGAATAGGTGCAGAACAGGTATCTGATGAAGGCCAACTGGAAGACGACCCTGTGGCTCAAATAGCGCCAATGTTGGTTGGAAAAAGACGAAATTGGGCCGAATCTTGACCTGCCGTGTACCTCGACCATACGACCTGGAATGGGGGGGGGGGGAAGAGAGAGAGGGGAGAGAGAGAGAGAGAGAGAGAGAGAGAGAGAGAGAGAGAGAGAGAGAGAGAGAGAGAGAGAGAGAGAGAGAGAGAGAGAGAGAGAGAGAGAGAGAGAGATCGCAAGCGCAGTGGCAATAGCACTATGACATCGTCTCTTCTAGCACCTACATTGTATGCCATCTCTTTGTTGTAAGAATATCGAATGGCTCAAACTAGGGAATAGCACTGCTTTATACAGAGAATAGCTGTGAAAATGATCGCGTGCTGTGAGATGATATAAAAGCTAACACTAGGAGAATGTGTGCAAGATGACACCGAGACATGTATGGTAACATAATACGGGCAAAGACACATGTACTACTGTAGGTGCCAAAGATCATAGCACGCCGAAGAAAAACAATGAAATTAATTCTCGCGTCCCCAGTAGTACCAAGCGTATATAACCCCTCAGGAGTATGCAACTGCCTGCACAACCTCTATACAGTGCTGCAACGGCAGAACTTCACATCACGTGACATGGTTCAAAAGGTTACGCTGGCAAACGGTGCAAAGCGACCACAAGAGAGTTGAACCCCTCGATTGATGAATATCAGCCGTATGGAGGAACTATTGATGCCAGTATCTACAACCTGGAGTCATGTTGCTAATGTGGTGAATGAGGTCGGCCAGTGAGTGGTGGGGATTTGGGACTAACTTGATGATGAACAGGCCGAGAGCTGCTGTTGACCCTCCTGACCCTTCCACGTCTTCCCAACTCTAACCTGTGTGTGTGTGTGTGTGTGTGTGTGTGTGTGTGTGTGTGCACGCGAGTGTGTGTGTGTGTGCATGGGGTAAAAATACTTTTCGACAGGGCGTTACCACCGAGCCTCTCAGCACAGTCGACCTGAATACACGTCACGTATTCTACGTGTCTGGTGCAAATACGTAGGCCCACCAGGGCACACACTCGCACGGTGCACTCGTGCCGCGCAAAGCGCACTGCACTCGCGGCTGCACTAGCAGGCACAGATGAGCTATGCACCGCATTGAGTCTACGTCCGTGGGATTACTGGTCAGGATCTTTGGCATGTATGTGTTATGTACAGTATACACCTATGTGCGTTCAAGAGAACCAACCAACCAACCGACCGACCCGTAACTCGTCCATGTGAAACCGTGACCAAATTTGTCACGACGTATGTATTTGATTCAAATCTGCACGTAAATTTGAATCCTGACTAACACTACACATATTCCCATCTCGGGATTACCAGATTACTCCGGAGTTCTTCTACGGATTTCTAATGACAATCAATCACGTGGTATCACAGCTCCACAACTAGTATTAACAATTTTGATTTGCACTTGGTAATATAATCACAGTGTTGGGAGTTATAGCCGTGGCGAACGAGGCGGATACCTTTGGAACTCCACTGCATCTTGTGGCAGCCATGTCTGGAGACGATCTTGCAGAGGCTTAGCCGTGTCCACACTTCCCCAATCTGACACAACACCCACAAAGCAAATCTCGAATCAATACAAATTTGGGGACAATCAGTTACTTGTATTTTTTAAAAACGACCTACAAGTTATATTCGGGCGAAGATCCATAGTTTCCTTGAGACCTCTCCAGGCTTCCCTAGATCAATCGTGGTTTCCAATCAGCTCATACTCCTAGCACCTCAGCTTCACCAATCCAAAGAGGAATACTGCATCTTCCTGGTATAGGTGGAACTCAAATCTGACAAAATCAATGTAACTATTACATTTCTCTTCAGTCTTCGACCATACGATGAAGCAGGGAGTAGTACTACAACCCCGGGGGGTTATGAACTCTTGCTACTACCAGGGAGTAGTACTAGGCACTTCAGGCGATTTTTTCAAAACGAGAAATACGCGTATTTCTTTTTTGTATCCGATTCAGATAGGTTTAGGAAGACTCCACAGAAAATTTGAAGCAAAAAGAATAACTTGGCACAGAGATATAGCCACCCAAAGTCGGAGAATTGAATAACGGCATTTTCAGTATTTCGACGGCACCAGCAGCATATCAGAAATTGGCAGAACTTGCTTCAGTGTCTATAGTGGCAAAATACCAGGCTCGCTGGAAGCAGGTCAAAATAACCAGATGAATGCAGAAACAGCATGGTTTGGAAAAACTTCGCATTTTTCATCCGTCCGGCAGCTCCGACGAAGATATCGGGTGTGGTCACCATGGCAACTCCATAGCAACAGCATAGCAACTCCAGCGCAACAGCATGAAAACAGTGCAGAAAAGCCTTTGGAAAAGCATAAGATGAGACTTTGAGGTAAGATAAAGTAACTACAATAATTCAGTGCCAGAACACATTGTTGCTACATGTACAGTACTGACGTGGTGACGAGTACGGAAGAACAATGAGCCGAAGACTGAGCAAACTAGAATTTACCGGGTATTTGACGGAAAGAAATGACAAACTATTACATGTAGAACATCGTCTGCAAATTTTTGGGACTACTGAAACTTCAGCAACTCCAACATGAGAGATTTTGTGCATAGAGTGTGTGCTGGATTCTTGGTACAATATCACCGTCAATGCTTTTCTTGGTCGCTGGAAGCCACCTGCTGATCAGCTGACGATTTGTTCCGAGCAGGCCGTTTTGATGTCAGCTCTCTTGGTCCAGTCGCCGAAGTATATACTGTCCTACTCGTCGCCTGCAGGAGAGGACGACTGCTCCGATGCGACTCCAATAACACCTGGCAATATTTCTTCTTGCGCAGCCATGCGCATGGGCTCCGACGAACAAGGACTATTGCCGGGAGGACGCCTGTCGCGGTTCGCTTCCAATAACACCTCGCATTATTTCTCCTTGCGCAGCAATGCGCAAAGTGTTGGACGAACGAGGACAACTGATTCCGAAAGGAAATACGACGCTGAAGACGATGAGCTACATGGCAAATGCGTGCAACCAAGTGAAATGCCCGAAAAATCCTTGCCGATTTTACTCGAACTGTACGTGAGTTCAAAAAATTGCCGCATCATGACGTATGTGGGCTCAAACGAAAGCTGAGGGCCTCAGCTACATGCTGCGCCACACGAGAAGGCCCTGCGCAGCTTCCGTGCAGCTACAGATCGATCTATGCATGCGCCTTTCCTTGGTGCCATGCATGTACGCGATTCAGCGTTAGCACTTTTTGACAGGTCATGTCACGTGACTGAAGTGCCTAGTAGTACAGTACTACTCCCTGGCTACTACAGTACAAGTAGTAAGAGTACATGAACTCTTGGTAGTACGAGTACTGACTGTAGTAGACGAGTCGTAGATCTACTACTCCCTGCTATGAAGTCAAGATCCCTGACCCCCACCCCGGGTTTGGTCGATTTGTCTGGCCCGCGCAGTGCGCGGTGGACCGGCCATACTCGTACGTGTGTACTGCGAAGCGTACTGCATAAAGCGCATTGGCCATTGCACTGCTGAAAAGCATGCCATGGTATACTGTGCACTGGCGGCTTTGGTCCGGAGTTTGGTCATGCATGCGTCAGTTTTACGTTATTTTCTTTTGAAGTTTTGTCACATGATCACACACTGCACTGTGCATGTGACACAGAACACAATCATTTTTTTGAAAACATAAAATAATTGCTACATCTACTGTCTGTTGATTGTTGTGGAGAGAAGGAAAGAGAAAAGTCAATTCAATTGGATACTGCTTCACCCGATTGATTTTCAAGAGTCCGTAGATGTACCATCAGCAGCAACAACGTGAACTCTTTTCTGATCTTGCAAGACATCACGGTCAGGTCATCAACCTGTAGACACGAGTTGGGTCACTGTGACTCTCGAGAAAGGTTCTTTTCTCTCTTTCTCACTTGATGCAGCAGGTGTGTGTTTCACTGGAGTAGGAGCTGTCCCACGCCATGGCACTCAGGAAGTCTACTACACCCGAGGAGAAGCAGGAGACGTTGCAGCGTCTCGTCCAGTTCAACCCTGGCGTAGCACTGGCAATTTTCAGCTGCGTAGGATTAGCTATTCTGTACTTGGTCGTCATATGGGTGGGTCCTGCCAGCTAATGCCAGAAGTACACAGATGCTAGATGCGCTACGTTTTAGTAATGTTCCTATTCGAACACAATTGATTTGTGTGGGAGACTCGTTCGGTCCAAATGCCCCGTTTGCAGGCGTTCAGGAATGTTGAGCTGGACTCAAGTTTCCTAGTAAGTCCTGGAAAGATGCCATCGCGTGCCGCTGTGTGATTTCTACCTTTATGGACTTGACAACAGTACGCAATGACTACCAGCTGCTGACCACTTATATTGTTTATCTATTCTATCGCTGCTGCTTTGTATATTGGCTGCCTCTTCTACTAATAGACCATAGAGCAATTGCTTTCATTTCCCTACTTTCCTTTAGTGGAGTTTCTAAAATTCCGCTCCCGCCGTGTGTAAATAAGAGGCCGATGACTGCACCTATGCACTCAGTGCACCCAGTGACACGATGCCCAGTATCTAGAGAGACATTCCCTTCCGTGGTGTGCCAGCGAGGTGCCAGGCTTGTCTGTACATATACCCACGGATGTTGCTGGTCATGCCGTGTGGCTTGCTGAGATGCGCTGATGCACATAGCTTTTATAGAAGTTCTGTGTGTGTGCGTGTGTGTGTGTGCTTGCGTGTGTGTGTGCAGTGTCGAGCATAGCATTTCTTGCCGCAGATTTTGGTTTGTAACTTATTGCTCGCCAGCTTGACTCCTCAATTTACTGAGTGCTTGTCATCAGGGAGTCGTAAAATACCGGTATTTTACGACTCCCTGCTTGTCATCCTCGTTTCAATTAGCTGGTCCTCTCACCCAGGCAGTAACCACTGCAATGTGAATACATGTACTTGTAGAAATTATTCAAATTAACAACTACAACACCAGTTGAATTCAGTCGTGAAGGCTGTTGCGCAATGGCAGACTGCAATCTCCTGTTCAGGAAGCAGCTAAGATCAGTGTTTCAGTATTTACTGAGCATGCATGTATTGGATCATACGAGATGCACCGGTAGTAGCAGAGAGGCAAATGCCCGCAGTAAACCAGCTTCTTTCAGTGCAGCATGATTGCAAGTTATTATCAAGAGTACATACGGTAACCCCCATGTACTCTTGTTATCATGTACGCATGGAACACAACCCCTGTTACATTGATGTGCCACTGACTTGAGTATTTGCTTTTAATTTGAATCTATAAGGAATTTCACTGTGGAACTTCTATTGGACTTGCTGACACGTGCGAGTTGTTTGCTTGTCTGTTGAGTTGACAAAGGCACGGCCAAGACTTGAAGAGCATATTATACCCCTTCCAGTCCAGCTGATGTATGAGCCTCTCTCAGTGCTTGCCTCGGTATGGCTTACAGAATGAGCCAGAGAGAAAGACTCACACACACACACCAGGGAGTCGTAAAATTATAATACCAGTACTAGTACATGTACATGTATTTAGGAAGTCAGAAAATGTTTACGACTCGGACTCCCTGACACACGCACGCACATATATTATACCGGTATACAAGCACCACACTCAAACCAGGCCAGCTGCACGCGCACAGGTGGATCATGAGAACGACTGGAACATAAGAAGCTGGAGCATTGGACTAAAAGTAATATGGATATAAGTCTAACTATGTACAATGCAAGGATGGTGATCTTCCTGATGTATGGACGACCATGGCACTACTGCACACCGATTAAATAAGACGAGCCAAACGAAAACAAACAAGCAATATTAGAAAAAATGAATGAGAACACTGGAAAACAAGTAAGAAAGTGGGATAGCAGAAGGCATAGGATTGGAGTAAGAGTGCACATGAGATCTACCACATGGCAATGGAAAAGAGCAGGAGAAGCATGAGGGTCGGCCGTACGAGCCAGCACACCAGGAATATGAGTGGTGCATGAGCAGGGCAAGCATCCGAAAATGCAAACGTCAGGTTTCATATCATGAGCATGCACAAGGGGGGCTACTTGTCTGTGTGTGTGTGTGTTTTTTCTAAGTTTTGAAATATGATGAAGACCGAGATGAACAGTTGGGTTTCTAGGAGTAGGTTGCAGCAACAAACACATCAACTTGGTGAGGTTCTTTCTGGTTTGGGAAGCTTGGGTCTAGGTGGAGATGGACACTTACTGCAAGCAACTAATTCGGTAATAGACAAATGCATGCGCACGCACACCTACACAACACACACACACACACATGCACACCCACACAACACCCACACGCACACCCACTCATGGATATACATCCACGGACTAAAAGGAAGCAAAAAAGAACAACAGTAGTACCACTACTGGAACACACGGGCTGCGCACTCACGGCACAGGAGGGTCTCCAAACGTTGGCTAAGGAGAGTGCATACAAAACTCAGAGCCCGGACTGACAGTGAAAGTGGACAGGACACGAACAATCACGCAACACAAGGCTGGACAGGCTCCCTACTTTGTGAAATCAGACGAGGCACAGGTAAGCAGTAAGTTCCACTGACTACCATCCAGGGCAATCAGCTAGGTGCTGGAGCAGCCTCAGCTGGCAGATCGCTGGAAGTAATTGTACTCGGTGCGGAGCAAGTCGGGAGCAGCACCGGCATCTGGTGTTGCTCGATCTTCACCTGGCTATCCCCTGACGCGGTGCCCACATCTTGGTGCGGCAGCATGAGGGGTAGCTCTACCTTGGCGTCGTTTGAATGGAAATGGTTGTCCGGTAATGCATTCAATGTGCCTTGGTCGCTGGGTGCCCAGTTAGTTTGCGCTGCAGCTACGACGGTCGCTACAGCAGCTACAGTTGCTTCGGCTGCAGTGCTGGTAGCAGTGGACACCTGGCTTAACAGCTCGACGGCGGTTTGATTGCCGAACGCCTTCATTGCGACTGGCCGTACGAGAGCCAGCTCTTCTGGCTCCTCGGGGTATTGCCGATAGCCGCCGGCCGTTTCCTTGCGAGTTGCGGTCGGAAAGTCGGGATAGCCCGGGATTTTCGTCTTGCTGCCCTTGCACGGCCAGGGCCCGTTCACCGTGATCGGCTTGACGTTGTTGCGGTGCGTGCGCAGGTGCTGTATCCAGGCGTCCTCGGTGACGAACGCATGGTTGCACGGCTCCGGGCAGATGAACGAGAGCTTGTTGCGGTGCACGCTGCGCAGGTGGCGTCGCAGGTAGTTGTACTGGGCGAACTGCTTCAGGCAGGCGGTGCACACGTAGGTGCGCGCCTCGCTGTGACGGCTGCGCTCGTGCTGCAGGAGATTGGAGCGATCGCTGAAGCGCTTGCCGCACTCGTGACAGTTGAAGGGCTTCTCGCCGGTGTGCCGCCGCTCGTGGCGCTTCAGGCAGAAAGACCGGTGGAACGACTTTGTACAGTATCGGCAATGGTGGCGATTCTTGCTGGTGGGATTCGCGGGGTCCTCGCCAAGTTCGTAGTCGTCGTCGTCGTCGTCATCGTCGTCTTCTTCCCCGTCTTCTTCGTCCAGGCTGTCGCTGCTGGGATCTAAGCCGTTCTCCTCTTCTACTTCGAGCGTCTTTGCCGGCATATGAGCTTGAGCTATATGCTGGGTGAGGCTGCGGCGGTCGCCGAAACCGACGATGCAGTCTGCACACTCGTAAACACGGCTAAGTTGGGGCTGGACTTCCTCTGTCAGTGACGTCATCCTAGCGATCGAGGAGACCTGTGCACGGGCATACCCGGGGAACGCGCAGACAGAGCAAGACAGAAAAAGATAAGAGCGAGGCATGATGCAGATCCAGCAAATGTGTGTGTGTGTGGGGGGGGGGGGGGGGGGGGAGTACAAAGACAATTGTTCAAAGCAACGTGATCATGGTGACTCAAGCTAGCTGTTTCAACCTTGATAGGTCTGATGCGTATTAGATACTGCACTGTACTTGCATGTTTGATTTCCAACTATAAAGTACAGTGTTGGCAACTGAAATCCGACCCCCTGGGCGGCGTGGTGCGTCGCCCAGGGGGTCGGATTTCAGTTGCCAGCACTGTACATGTATGGTGTTATACAATCATACAGTACATGTACGTGCATTCAAACTCAAAGAAAAGAAAGGTGGCTCAGCAACACTCAGCATACGCTTGCTTATGCATAATCGTGCCGTCAGTATTCATTAGACACCGGAGTTGTTGGGCAGACCGTGGAGTGCAAACGCAATCATGTCTGCTCATATTGCATTGCCGGAACCCTAAGGAGATCTCCCGTTGAATGAACGCACCTCACAGCTCATTCATTTGAGGTCAGTAATCAGACAGGTGTCTATATTGAGCCTACTACAAAAATGCCACGAGATCACCATTACAACAGTGATTGTTCTGATGATTGCCGTTGCTGCGCGAAATTATCACATCACCACGAACAAGCCCAGGAAGATGTGATAAAACAGCATGACCAAACAATTCAACAGTTCAAATATTTAGAATACTGCAATGGTTGAATGGTTCTCACCGGAATTTCGCCGCTGCTTCCACTTCTAGTGGGCTTCGGAGACGAAAATGGCGAGGACAAAACCGTCCTGAGTAAAACAGCCACTCAAACTAATACTTCTCTCCACTCAGCACAACACTTCCTCCATTAGTTTTCGCAACATACGCCTACATCAGCCTGCTAGCAGTCGCCAATTATTTGGGTGTTGCAAAGTTGAGCTGTAAACGCAACTGAAACACACAGCTAGCTAACCGCAAAGCAGCCAGGAAACCCCCAAACCTCCACGGCTCCAGTGCACTGTGCAGTGCACCATCTGCACAACAAGCTGTGCATGTGCGAACTCCTGGGCGCCTGTGCGCACTCAGACACCAAAAAAGTCACACCATGCTTCTTGCTATCGATCCATATGGGCCATATGGCCACGAGTACAAATGTAAGAGTAGATCTGTACTCTTGATGCAAATTTACATGTCATGATCTGACTGTTTCCCAGGGATTTTTTTGGCTATTTTTATTAAAGTATTCACATACTGGTACATGTACATGGGCCGGACATGTGGTACCAAGAGTACATGTTATGTACTCTTGGTGGTACCCAACTCGTAAAAATAATAATAATATAATAATAAACACAGCTCGCATCTTCCCTGAACCTGTTAGACAGGAGCAGAGTCGACGCATCTGTCAACAGTGTCAAGCCAAGTTAGTCTATCTCCTGCAGCTTGGAGAGCGCTCTCCACGGAGAGATCCGCTGCCTTCAGGTCGTGCCGAATCGTATCTATCCACCGCAATGGCGGACGGCCACGGGGTTTTTTTATGTCGTTTGTGTTGATTGATAGCTCCAGTGCTTTGAACGAGGCGGATTCCGGACCCTCTCGCACCACATGGCCAAACCACAGCAGCCTGCGTCGCCGACATGTGGCACTAACTGGAGATTGTTTTGTTTCTGTGTATAAGTTGTTATTGGTGATGCGTTGCGGGTAGACAATCTGCAGCAGTACGCGTAGCTTCCTCCGTTGCCATTTGTCCAGTTTGTCGTTCAGCAATTTGGACAGAGTCCACAATCCGCAATTGTATAGAAGGATCGGCATTATGAGGCAGTTAAACATACACAGTCGGGATTGAAAGGAATGCCGTCTCCAAGAAATCGAACCAAACGCCCTGTTTGCTTTTGAGATTCTCATGTCCACGTCTTCTGCAGAGCCCAATAGAGAACCCAGGAGTTTGATTGATCTCCATTCGTTGCTGTTTCTTGTAACATCAACATATTCAGTTTTCTGTGTATTGAGCTTGAGGTTGTCTTCGTTAAATATAGGTTCACACTCAGCAACAAGAGCCTTCGCCTCATCGTCATTTCGGTTATGCAGAGTAGTATCGTCAGCGTACTGCGTTGTTGGAGCAGGCATTGGTGAGCGAATTGTGCATCTTTCCCTGATCTTGCGCATTGTGCCTTCTGCATATGTTATGAACATAATAGGGGACATCGGGTCTCCCTGGACCACTCCGATGTTAGTTGGGAAAGGGGGACTCAGGGAGCCACTCAGCTTGATCCTGGCTGTCGTGTTGGAAAGTAGAGACTTGATGGTTGTTGTGCTGATATCTGCCTCCTCTAACCTGTCAAGTGCTGTGGTGCGAATTATAGTGTCAAAAGCACCAGAGAAATCTAGAAGGGTGACGGAATATGTCCAGTTGCCAAGCAAGGCCCGCTCACACAGCGACCTTGTGTAAAATACACCATCAGCGGTTGAGCGACCTGGACGAAATCCAGCCTGGGTTTCAGAGACATAAACGGTGATGTCATCCGTGCTACGTTTAGTAATAACTGACGTCAGCACCTTTCTCACTACAGAGAGTAACATGATGGGGCGATAACTTTTCGGTTTTCCGAGTGGCTTGCCTGGTTTGTATACAGGTACTACCAATCCACTGCGCATATCGTCAGGGCAATAACCAACACTCTGTATTGCATTGAAGAAAGAGGCTAGCCAAGGACTAAGGAGGTCCTTAGCAGCTCGTAGCATTTCCGCACTGACTCCATCGGGTCCCACGGCGCCTCCTTTTTTTTGTTTACTGATTGCTGAAGTGACTTCTTGGGTGGTAAACGGCAATTCCTCATCATTGATATCTTGCGAGCCACGGAAATCACAGGGTAGGTCAGGGCGATGAAATATTGACTGGAAGTATTTACTAAATGTATCGAGATTCCATTGAATGCTTGTCATGATATTGCCATCATCGTCTGCCAGCCGAACAGGAGGAGTGTTGGTGTTCGACTTCATTTGGCGCAGATTCCGGATTGCATTGTAATAGGAGCGTGGGTCAGGTCGTAAAGCATCAGTAGCTTCTGCCTGCCTTTGCCAGAAGTCGTCTCCATCCTGCCTCAGTATTTTTCTGATTTTGTGCTGAATACTGTTGCGCTCTTCTTTTAGAACTTTTCTTCTGGCAGGATCTGGCTCAGCATGGATGCGTATGTGGAGATCTTTTTGGTCTTGGGATAATTGTTTTATAGTTGGATTTGTGCTCCGAGTTGGCTTAGCACGCCGAGGTTGAATACCAAAAGACGTACATGCGGCACCATGTACAGTCGACACAAAACTGTTCCATAGAGTATCAATTTCTCCCTGCGATGACGGTGGTGGTGACGCTACGACGGGTAGTGACTCAGACAGAATACGTTGATATTGTTTCTGCGTGTCGGCAGAAGGCGGGTTATATGTTACAAAGCATCGGTGGTTGGCTTTTGGAGCATTGTTCGACTTCTTGAAAGAAAGTCGAACATCCGCGATTACTGGATGATGATCCGATCGGGTTATGAAGCCTCCGTATGACCGCGCGTTAGTGACAATTGACACGTCCGATTTCCGTACCATGATAAAATCTATCATGTTCCTGACTTGATTCCCATCGTTATGACACAAGCCATCAGCAAACCACGTTGCACGATGCTGCATGCGGTGCTTGAACATTGTGTTAGCTAGTAGCAGGTGGTGTATCTCACAAAATTCAATTAGACGGCTTCCATTGTCATTACTCATTCTGTGTTTTGAGTACATTCCTACTGGGTTCGATGAGCCAGCTGGCGAACTGCCTACCTTGGCATTCATGTCACCCAGTACCCACAAGACGTCACGACGATTAACATTTCCAACAGCTTTGCTCAGCAAAGAATAAAATTCATCAGCCTCAACAGGGTTAGCTGTGGAACGTTGTAGGGTAGGAGCGTAGCAGCAGATGATTGATACCCCTCTACTGTTACGACTTCCAGTTAGCAGTATCCGCAGCGAAACTACTCGGTTCGAATAGAATTGGTACGAATCGATATTTCTTACAATATTTTTATTGACGAGAATTCCTACTCCAGCTCTGGACGAAGTGCCTCCAGAACGATACAATGTGTGGCCATTGTCCAACACATCGATACCGTTGCCTTCCATCCATGTCTCAGTCAGGCCGAGGACGTCCAGGCGGTAGGTATCAAAGTCCTGAATAATCTGTTGTTTTTTGATTTTAGTCCGCAGCGAACGAACGTTGAACGTGCCAACACGGCACGACGGCGCTCCAGCTCTTTCATGTCTCCGGTGAAAAACAAGCCCAGGCTTCAGGCTATCACTACTCATTTGTCAAAAAAACTTGGCTTAGACATAGTCCGAGGAACAGAAATACCCTCCAGAAGGAGAGCTGACGGGAGTTCAACCCGCCATCCAAGCAAATAATAATAATTACTGATAAATGGTACTGACTGCAATTTTAATTAAATTTGTAGGATAGACGTGACAACTACTGAGCATGCATAGCAGGGGCTGCACCGAGACGGAGCAGTGATAATGGTGATGGTGGGGCATTGGGCCCTGCCGACCTGACGGGTCTCGGCATCACTGCCAAACACACGCACCAAAAACAGAAGATAGAGATGTTGCAATTGGGTAGATAAGGAGTATCCCCGGCGCCTCCCATGGCCTTGCCGCTGTCTTGCCATGGTGCGGCCCGCACCATGGCAAGACAGCGGCAAGGCCATGGGAGGTGTATACTACTCAGCGGTACTCACGGCACGGTGATGAACATCAACTTAGCGATGAACATGTATGATTATCATGATTATCCTCTTGCTCGAGCGCTCCCAGCTCTCCCCTATCGACAGGGGCTAGGGGAGAGCTATACTACAGCAGGAGCACTCGAGAAAGAGGATAATCATAACTGAAAGACTGCAGCCTCCTCAACAGGAGGATTATAATTACGGTATAAGTATACTGTTGTAGTGTTGAGGAGGCTACAGTAGGGAGGTTCTGCTATACGTGAAACGTAGAGAAATCACGTAGAGAGCAGGTGTCTGGGTTAGAGTCTACGGCTTCGCGTGTTTTGGCTCCAGATTTCTACGCGGAGATGGGGTTCTCTACCTGGCACACGCAGAGAAAATGCGTACGGATTTGCTGGGTATCGCGTATATCGATCAACTGCATGCAGAAAACTGCCAAATATGGAAGGGGAAGTTCCCAGTACACATTCCACGTGACTTCTCTAGGTGAAACGTAGAGCAGAACAGCATTTCTTTACGTTACGGGAACGCGAAGAAAGTTCGAGTGATTCTTTGCGTCGCGTTCCCAAAACGTAGAGCAGAACCTCCCCATTCTTTCAGTTTCTCCACGTGCAGTAGCCACTTGCCTGGCGCCAGTTGTACGAAAATAGGCGAACCCGGCCCGGAACGGAACGACCATAACGTTATTATTACGTTATGCACGAATAGAAGCATGGCTGGATGGAATCACGTAGTAGTAGTAGTAGTAGTAGTAGTAGTAGTAGTAGTAGAATTTATTATTTTGATAGGGAAGGCCCTACAGACGTTGCCGTCTTCACGTCGCGGGCCAGCGGCCCGGTGCAGCGGCTAAGTACAGCCATGTACAATGTATAATCATGTACGAGCATGTGTATAGAATGGGGCTGTTAAGTGATGACGTCACAGTTCCTTCGATACGCATAACAACGATCCCACTGGGGACAAACAAAAGTAGCGTCGTCTCCACCGAACCAGTTGTCAATGGCAACATATAGGAATCGTGTACATTTCTTCGTTTCTTCTTTGCTGTTTTCAGTGAGTGTTTTGTTTTCTCTTTGTCCTTGATCTCGACGATGTTGTCGTGCTCATTACCTTATTGAGACGTCTCTTGTGACTGTAGCCAGTGTCACGGAGGATTTTATTGGCGTGACAAGGTAGATCGCCGAGATCGAGCGTGAAA